ACGAAGCCATGAACCCTAAACCCTATACCTCTAAGGGCTTTAGGAGGGACCCTTAATAGGGACCCTTGGAGGTTATTGGGGTTTATATGGAGACTACCTGGCTATATAAGGGGTATATAAGGACTATACAATGATTATTTAAGGTAATGGGATTAAGGGTCCCTATTAGGGGTCCCTCCTAAAGTCCTTAGATTCTAAGATACGCTGAGGGTTTAGGGCTTAGGGTTTGGGGATTTAGGGTTTGGGGGTTTAGGGTTTAGGGATGTAGGGGTTTAGGGCTTGGGGTTTTAGGGGTTTAGGGGTTTAGGGGTTTAGGGTTGAGGGATCAAGAAGGGTTCGGACCCTCATAGGCCGTAAAACCCTAAACAAGGCCCAAAGCCTTAAAGGCCCCAAGCCGTTTTCAGAGTGTGGAGCATTCGATCCCTAGGACATTTTCAGTTGGTTAGTTACCGTGATAGGAGCCTTTTATAGGTTCCCCAGTAGTACCCTTTTGCCCTTTTGGTTTTTGGGGTCCCTTATTAAGCCCAAAGAGTAAGAAAAAGGGTGCCCTTATTGTTAGGGGTCTACTGGGGAACATAGTTTTCGAAGGTCTATATCCCAGAAGCCTTATAACCCTAAACCCTAAACCCTAAACCCTAAACCCTAGATACCCTAAACTCCCCACCTGTAGTTTCCTTTCGCTATTCCGGCCTCCGAGGGCTATCCCGATTTCGGCGGGAACAGCGACGACGTGCAAGCTGATCTGAGTCTTAGTGGGTTTAGGGTTTAGGGTTTAGGGTTTAGGGATTTAGGGATCTAGGGTTTGGTTTTTTTTTGGTTTAGGGGTTTAGAGGTGGCGAAGCTTGGCGGTAGGTAGGGCCTTCCAGGGCTTAGGGTTTAGGGACGGAATTAGGTCCCAAAAGACCATTCCTACTATGGGTTTTGGGAGCCTAGTTCCACAACAGTAGGATGTGCAAGCTGATCTGACTCTTAGTAGCTGAGTAGATACACGGTACACTTTTTGAGTCAATATCACCCAGAGTTTAGGGTTTTTTAGGGCCGCAAAAAAATCCCTAAACCCTAATTTTTTGGAGCAACTAAGGACTTGCATCCGCGCCATCCAGGCGAACCGTGGCGCTTTTGCTGCCATCCGTGAGGCGCGTTGGTCGCAGAAAAAGCGCTGAACACTGGACCCTGGAACTAAACCCTGAACCCTAATCCCTAATTCCTAAAACCCTAAACCTTCAATCTTGGCCCCCACTAGAACTCTAAACCCTGAACCTTAAAACTTGAAGCCTGAACCTTAACAATTTCTAACAGCCCACGGGTTTAGGGCTTCTACAGGCTTAGGGTTTGGGGCTCAGTCAGAACCCCAATGCATCGCGGTTTGGGGTTTAGGGTAACGGCTCAAAAGCCGTGGACCCCCTGCTGTAAACTCCTGTCTGGTGCTTAGTAGGGAATGGGGGAATGGATCCCTATCATAATCCCTTAAGGTCCCTTATAGTAGTCCCTATAACCCATTCCCCCATTCCCTACTAAGCACCAGACAGACTCCTGGCCGCCGAAAGCCTGCAACACCCCAAAGCTGCAGTGGACCAGATGCGAACCCTAAACCAAAAGCCTAAACCCTAAACCCTAAAGCCTAAACCCCTCACGGACGTCTGGGGTTGACACTGTTGATCACAAGAGATGTCTGAGTTAACTGTGGGTTCCGCAGAGAGTGAGTCGTCTGATTCGTCTGAAATGTCGGGCGAAAGCCATGGTGATTTGTGAAGATGCAGGCTCCATTATGGAGCAGGCTCTTTTACCTGTTCGACTGTCGTGCGGAGAAATTGTCATTGCATTCAAAAAAACCCTAAACCCTAAACCCTCAAGCCTAAACTAAGACTCTTATGAAGAGCCCATGCCCGAAACCCCAAAGCCCGTTGGGGTTTGGGGTCTAGGGCCTCAGAAACTCTGAGGCCTGATCCCGAAGCCCTCAAGCCCTAAAGCCCTTAAGGTTTAGGGTTGAGGGTTTGGGGGTTTAGGGGCTTAGGGTTTCGGGGTTTAGGGTTTAGGGTTTAGGGGTGAGGGGTTTAGGGTTTTTAGGGTTTAGGCTGAACCCGAAACCGTAAAGCCCTAAAGCCAGTGAAGGATGGCACTGTGGTGACCTGGGGTGATATGGACTTTGGGGGCGACAGCAGCGATGTCCAGGAGGTGGGAGACGCAAGAGTGCGAAAAGACGGGGGCCTTGTAGTAAAGAGCACGAGACCGGAAAAGGGTCTAGGGTTTAGGGTTTAGGGTTTAGGGGAATGTAGAAAGATTTACTTAAAGGCCCAAGGGACTTAGTAAGTAAGGTTATAAGTAAGGTTGAATTGGTATAGCCCTGCTCAGGACGCTTCTAATCTCAAGTATAGTCCTACCTGCTAAGTCACCTGAGCCCTCAGGTAGGGGTTTAGGGTTTAAGGTTCAGTGTTTGGGGTTTAGGGTTTAAAGGCAATTTTTAGGGTTTAGGGAAGCCTGAACCATGAATAGTACTACTTCTCAGGGGTCCTTCTGATACTTATGCTGCAACGCACCCCAAAACCCAATTTAATCATCGAGGCTCCTTAGCCCGATAGCCGTAAACCCTACGACGGGACCCGCATAGACTATTCAAGCCTTCTCAGGATATCTAGTACCCATACACCCGCATGGTCCCTATGACAGCGTGCGATTTGATAAACCCTAAACCCTAAACCCTAAACCCTAAACCCTAAACCCTAAACCCTAAACCCTAAACCCTAAACCGGACTCCGTCAGACTCCTGTCTAAGTCTTAAAGCTCCTATTTGTCTAGGACATTTTCAGGTGGGTCGTTACCGTTATAGGAGCCTAATAGAAGGTCTATATACCTTATGGAAGCCTTATAGAAGCCCTATATACCCTAAACTCCCCGCCTGTAGTTTCCTTTAACTAAGCATTCAAGCTCCTATTTGCATAACCCTAAACCCTAAACCCTAAACCGTGAACCCTAAACCCTAAACCCTAAACCCTAAACCCTAAACCCTAAACCCTAAACCCTAAACCCTAAACCCTAAACCCTAAACCTCTAAAACCATAGACCTTCCCCAGGCGTTGAAGGAGGTATCGTGCATCCAATCCTCGGACACCGCTTTTGTCGCCATCCTCAAAGATGGCTCCGTGGTGACCTGGGGCGCAAAACTCCGAACCCTAATTTCCCTAAACCCTACTGTAGAAGCCTAATTAATTACCAACCCTAAACCCTAAACCCTAAACCCTAAACCCTAAACCCTAAACCCTAAACCCTAAACCCTATATTGCTGTTAGGGTTCCTTATTATATTTATACAAAGGAGCCCAAGGCCCTATGCTAATGATTAAGCCCCCAAGCCCAAAACCCTAAACCCTAAACCCGTGAGATCCTTGTGTTTAGGGTTTAGGGTTTAGGGTTTAGGGTTTAGGGTGGTCTTTTGGCCTCCTAGGTGACCTGGGGTGACCCTGATGGTGGAGCCGATATTGAAGCCTGGCCTTCTTTTTACGGTCTAGGGTTCAGGGTTTAGGGGCCGATATTGAAGCGCGGCTTTCTTGTTAGGGTTTAGGGTTTAGGGGCCGATATTTGAAGCCCGGCCTTCTTTTCAGGGTTTAGAGTTCAGGGGCCGATAGTTGAAGCCCGGCCTTCTTTTCAGGGTTTAGGGCTTAGAGGCCGATATTGAAGCCCGGCCTTCTTTTCAGGGTTTAGGGCTTAGAGGCCAATATTGAAGGCCGGCCTTCTTTTTCGGGTTTAGGGTTTAGGGGCCGATATTGAAGCCCGGCCTTCTTTTTATTTTTGCGCAGGTCCTAGGTAGTATTAGGCAGACCGCTTAAAGGGGACCCTTTTGAGCCCTACTTCTGGCTCTCTTAAAAGGGACCTTATTAAGAGGGTCTATATCCCCAAGCGTCCCCCCAATCCTAAGTCCGACTTCAGGACCCTAAACCGCTGAACCCTAAACCCCTAAAGCCTTAAACCCGAAACCCTAAACCCTAACCCCCGAACCCCCAAAACGCAACCCCTAAACCCTCAACCCTCAACCCTCAACCCTCAACTCTAAACCCTAAACCCTAAACCCTAAACCCTAAACCCTAAACCCTAAACTCTAAATCGCAAACCCCAAACCCTAAACCCTAAACCCTAAACCCTAAACCCTAAACCCTAAACCCTAACTACCATCAGGCTGCAGGGTGCGGGTCCTAGGGCTTGGGAGGGCTTAGGTTTCAGGGAGGTGCAAGTTTTAAAGTTCGAGTCCAGTAGATGTTGTCTCAACCCTAAACCCTAAACCCTAAACCTTAAATCCCCTAAACCCTAAACCCCCTAAACCCTAAACCCTAAACCCTAAATCCCCAAAACACTCAACCGTAATCCCCACACCATAGTCTAGAGTCCAGTAGATGTTAACCCTAAGCCCTAAACCGTAGAGTCTAGAGTCCAGTAGATGTTAACCCTAAGCCCTAAGCCCTAAACCCGACGGCTCAGGACGAGGTAGAGGGCCAGATTTCCGTGGTGGAAGAAGTCCAGGCCACTGACAGCGCCTTCGCCGCGCTTTTGCCAGATGGCTCCGTGGTGACGTGGGGCAACCCGAACCTTGGGGGTGCATGGAAATATTTTCAGCACTTTCGGTTACTAGATCCCTAAGAAACAGCTAGAACTATGAATTTGGCAGGGGTACCAAGTTCAGTATAGGAACGAGGGCGGCGATAGCCAAGAGGTGCGACGGCAGCTGAAAGATGTCAGGCACATCCAAGCCAATGCGAATGCCTTTGCTGCCATCAGAGAGGATGGGTCTGTCGTCACCTGGGGCGATCCCGACGTCGGTGGCAACTGCAGCAGTGTACAGGAGCAGCTGCAGAATGTGCAGCAGATCCAGGCGACGGGCACGGCCTTTGCTGCCATCCTAAGCGATGGCTCGATAGTGACCTGGGGCAACTCGGAGGAGGGAGGTGACAGCAGCGCCGTGAAGGATCTGCTGCAACCTCTCCGCCGCTGAGCCGCAGGAAAAAGCCTGGCGTGACAGGTTTCTCTGGGGTCTACCTGTAACTCTCTTCACCTACAGTTTAGCAGGCTTTACCCCTTTAATAATTAGTAGCTAGAACCCATAAAAGTTTAGGTAACTCGAGTCCCAGGTAGATATTAGGGAGAACCCCTCTAAAGCTCAATCCCACACCCGAAGCCTAAACCGTCAACCACTGGTCCGCGCTGCTTTCATCTTGCGTTCGTGATGCCAATCGAACCTCCCAAAACGGATCGCCTACAGGATACTTTGAGATCTTCAGAAGGTTTCCATACTGCTTCAAGTTCTGAAATCCTGAGGCACAGAGTTGTAAGCCAAACCCATAGACCTCACAAAAGCCCTACGGTTGATGATTATAAATCCTGCATTATCCATAAGAAGGAAGATACCAGAATTCCCGTAGTTTAGGGTCCTTAAGGTCTTAACGTCATGCAGGATTTATATCATCAACAGTATTGGGAGCTAGGATTAGAGGGACCCTTGGGGATATAGACCCTCTCAATAAGGTCCCTTTTAAGAGAGCCAAAAGTAGGGTTCAGAAGGGGTACCCTTTAAGGGGTACCCCGAATAGTACTACCTAACAACCCGAAACCCCAAACCCTAAACCCTAAACCCTAAACCCTAATACTACCTAGGAATATAGCTAAACCCTAATACTACCTAAGTATGTCCCGGCACCAGAACGTCGATGCTGGAGTCGAAGCTCTCGGCCTCGGAGATCAACGTGGCCGCGCCATGGCTGAGGTTTTCAGGGGATTTCCCAGAGACTCCAATATTCCTTAATTAAGGAATATTCCTTAAATTATAGTAGGGTCCTTAATATGATTTAAGGTATATTGGAGTCTCTGGGTTCTTTGAAGGGATCTAAACCCTAAGCCCTAAGCCCTAAACCGCAAACCGTAAACCCAAAACCCTAAACCCTAAACCCCTAAATCCCTAAACCCTTAAATCCCAAAACCCAAAACCCTAAGCCCCAAACCCCAGACCCCATACAGGGATATGGAGGGATCTATAAGCGGCCTTCATCGGATTTTTAGGGTTCCTTTACAGGGTGTAGGTTTTATCAAGGCTTTAGGGTTTAGGGTTTAGGATTTAGGGTTTAGGGTTCAGAGTTTGAAGTTTCAGGGTTTAG